AGGTAGTGCCAAAGGCTTCAGGTACAAATCACTAAGAGTGAAAGAGTGGCCGCAAGGGAACGACTGCGCGTAAATGGTTGCTTGAAAAAGAGCAGTGCAGTCCCATTCATTGTAAGAAGTGTGAATAGGAACTTTGTTCTTGTCTCCCTCCAAAGAAGCAAACAAATTTCTCACAGCAGAGGAATCATCCCAGAGTTTGAAACCAGGGCGATGTCCATAGGTGTCGTCCCACATGGTTTTAAATTTCTGCCGTAATGCTTTTGGAAATTCGTTCAGCACAAGAGACGCGAACTTGAAGAAATTTAACTCGTCGTCCTGATAAGGCTGCAAAGCCATACCTGTTTAGAAGATTGAACATTCAACATAATAAGTATGTTATGGGGATTAGCCTGTTTCATATATCCAGTAAGTAACTTCGAGCGAAAAGAAAAGCGAACACCGTTCTTGACCTGCGGCTAGAGAATGACCAAAAGAAGACATAAGTACACTAGCATGTTGCGACAGGTAAAGAATTTCGAAAAAATCTTCTCAAATAGGGCACGCACTCGGATATAAATTTGGACGAGTAAGACACAACCTTATATACTACAGTCAAGCTAAGGTCGTCAGTATGAATAGACCTTGTCACGGTTCAGCCGACGCCATCTTGACGAGTATGCAAACGTGTGAGAAATTCAGTGTTTGTGTGAGAATCTAATGTCGAATGATTTCCGTAAAACGGCTGGTTCTGAAAAAAATATGACTTGTAAACTAAAGCTACAAAACAAAGGATTGTACTTAAAAAATTTTTTGGGCGTACCTGTGTGCTTAAATTTCTCCAGAGGCTTGCTTTAGATTTTCCATATATTTGTCTCTAACTTTTCCCGGGAATTTCTTACAGACAAATGTATAGAAAATTTTAAAAAGTGGTTCTAGGTCTTCTAGCCCATCTAACGCCCTCAATTTTTTTCAGTAGATTCCTTAGGAGTGAAGCTTTAGTTTGCAATTCATATTTTTTTCAGAACCGCCATTCTCATACAAACACTGTAATTTCTCACGCTTTTGCCTACTCGTCAAGATTGCGTCTAAAAACGTGACAAGGTCTATTGTTATTAATACTATTAGTAGTGTCTAAGGGATATATTTGCGAGAAAGTGTCCGCGGTTAGGATAAATCGTGAACCGACGCAGAAGTCACTAATACACAGTTTTTACCAAGACGTTTTGGTCTGGCAATACATTGTAGATTCTTTTGGGTTTCTACTGCACGCCCACACTACAAGTAGGTTTTAGACTTGGCTACCCATGCTTGACTGGCACTTGTTCCACATGGCGGAGCCAATCTGATATTAACTATGGTTCGTCGTGCATGTAGAACCCAATATAACTATATGTTCATCGTGAGAAGTAGTCGTTGTGGCATAAAATGTCATAAACATGCAGACATTTCACTTGTCTGCTGTTATGAATGTTATAGGAATATGGAGGCCAGCCTCGCGCTTTGATATATAGGGCCGGGCGTCAGTTGTCAGTCACAAGTCCCTTATTTTGTTACTTTTTTTCCTGTTTGTTTGTTTCCGTTGTTTTGTGCGATATTTTTTACATTTATATTACATTAAATATACTGATAAACCCCTCATATACGACCGCACTAGTTTTGCAGTAGGATTGAGGCACCCACGCGACGGCAACGGCAGCTAAAACGTCCTTGAAAATAAATTCGCGCCATTTTATCTCATCGCTATAATTCCACCTCTTTCGATTTGTCAAACGCGTTCGCAGGCGAAGTTTGAGGGGTTCATTCGTATGAAACCGTATGCAAATTCAACGAATTTAAAGATAATTGCCTTTTTGTGTTTACTTCCTCCTTAAAACATGAAATAAGGAATTAATTTCGGGTGTCTTCAGTCTGTAGGTAACTGGGTATGTCTACCCTACGTATCGAAAGGCTTTTCAAGTCGACGTGAAAAGCTATCTGTGCCAAACCTAAATACTGATATTTGACGATCCACTAAGATCGGCGCGGCGCAACTTCGTACCGTTACAGAAACTGCGACGAAATCAGCGTTTCAATGTGTGAACAGAAACCCTATCCTAAATGATATTTTTGCAGCGGCGTTAGAGCTATATGGTATACGCCGTAGCCATCGTGTGGTTGCTTTTATAATTTTAGTTCATTGGTTTCTAAATCCCACGGAGAGTTCAGACTGGTTATTACACAATGTATCTGAACATAGAGTAAAATTAAAGTATACAAATTCCTTAACAAGATACTAAGTTTGCCCAATATCTTTGTCTAATACCCGGAATCAGTTGAGGTCGAATGAGTTCAGGATGGGCGATACGAAGGATAGCGGAATAACAAGACTAAAAACTTTTCTCTTACTCAAATATGTCACATATGCCAATAAATGATGATGGGGCAATTTTGATGAGGTCCTCTCTCTAATAAACGCTCCGACATCAGCAGCTTGTACTGATTTATTGAAATCCTCCACTGTTACAGCAATTTGATTTTGACTCAGTGTTGGAGGGAGGTTTAAATTCCATTGTTTTGTAGAGAAAGCGATGTGACCAAAAACTGATACGCAAATCAATAATTTTGCTTTCTAATTTCCGGCTCGCCGCCATTTTGAATAATTATAGAGTTCTTTGTGATGTGCCTCTGTTTCATTTAAAATCTTGAGTTTATTCCCTAATTCTTGACAATGTCCGACAATCAATTGCTAACTTTTCCTACATTAACACATCTTCTCTTCCTTAAAAAAAAATAGAAAAGAAGGGAAAAAAAGAAGAAATAAGGAAAGAAGAAAAGTTTAGATTTTTTTCCTGTCAAGGATCGTTACGTCGACGTCAACTTGATGTTTCCACTTGGGACCATTTATTACGTATTTACTTTCGTAAACACACTCAGTCGTTCACCCAAGAGACTTATGATTTATGGTTTTAACCTGATTTTTAATTCTTGGTAAAATCCAAGATGGTGACCATTGTTGGTGACGTCACAGGCCCCTCAGCAGCGCTAGCGCCACCACCCATAAAATATACTTCACCTTGTAGAGAAGATCAAAGGCTTTCCACTGAAGGTAAAATCGTTTCGAAATACTGCAACACATCAAAAAGTCTAGAGGGCGAGGGTTCCATCCACCCCTTCCCCTTGTACAACGGTGTGGGTATGAATTTGCCTGTGCGTCGAGTTGAGCGGATTGGACGGTGTATAGAATGTCGTTTTTACAGATGCAATCTTTGGCTGACCAACTCTACACATCTGCGAGCAACCTGCAACTTTCCCACCCCCGGCCTTAAAATAACAGATTACGCGCGCGCCAAGCTGAAAAATCACGACTTTTTCGGTACATTTCCGTATCAGCGTCTTCATTATGAGTACATAAACATCAGGGGCATCAGTTGTGAAAACTGCACAGCAGCAACAAAGCAGGGAAACTTTAGCTCGGCTACGACCTCGATGGCTCTCCTAGTGTAAATGGGAGCGAAAACAATTTTGGAAGATACCGATTAAATACTAACAACTCCGATCCGCCCATCGTTGTTCGTCATCTTCTGCCTCTACAACTCAGCATTGGCTTGGATCTGTCTACAGCTTGTAAACCTTAGGTTTAAAAACGGCAAATAGCTAAAAAGCTTTGTAGGCTTTTCCTACAAACACCAGAATAGCTGACATTAAGCATATTGAACCTGTAAATCAGTGTAATACACTAGGTAGCCTGCTTACAGGCTCTGTACTGCCGCAATTTGTAATAGTCATCGCAGTTTATAATACCTATCGCAATTTGTAATAAACCGTGTCGCACTTTTTCGCAGTCGAAGCCCTCCCCTGACTTTTACCACACCTACAGCGACACCCACATTGTTCTCCTTCTAGCCGGTGACAGGAGGTTATGGGCTCCTGCCGGTGAGCAAAGACTCTGTCGCTTGCTCGCAGGCTAATCTCCTTCAGGTGTGTTATTGTGTGTTATTATCTCGCAAACCCATATTTCTTGCGCGCTTGCTATGCAGGCCAAAACAAATGAAAAATCCAATACATTTACCGTGAAATTACCGTTACCCAAACAGATTACTAGGGGCCCTTTGAGGATGGATGCCCAGGTACTTGGCTCCATTGTGGTATATATTTATCTGAGTGATTTGGCTTTTTGTGTACCAGAGACTTTTTATGCGAAGTTTCCGGTTTTGGTCAAGTCTGTTTTTAAAATAGTGACCCGTGCTTTGCCGCTGAGGCCGACACCGAACCATCCCGCCACAAGTAAGCTGCGTGACAGGCGCTGCATTTGCTTGTTTTTTAGGGCAAAGGGAGAATTACGAGTGAG